TTGTGTTGTTGGGGGGGGGGGGGAGTCTTGAAGCAACTGTGTATGTACAATGTTTGACAAGCTGGAAAAAACACTGATCCCGCAGTCTGTCGTTCTTCGTGTTGCCAGACAGCCCATCAAGCCCTCCGAGATCCAAATTGATGTCACGTTTTGGCAGACATGACTGGGAAGGACACAAATCCCTGGCCTGGGTCAACGTTTGTTGGCATGCGCACGTCCGCGGGCGCCATTTGTTGTCTTTCACCGTTTTTGCAGAGTGAGATGCATCCAAGCGCCACATATGGAAAGGGTCCAAAAAGGGACCAAAGCCAATGTTGGGTTATTTATACCCGGCGCAGTGGGGTTGAGGATTTGACCCAGTTGCATGACCATTTTCCAAGAAGAAGAGCAAGGAACTTCCCCCCCCACCCCCGGTGTCAGCTCTTCAAACTGCCCAAAACCAGTCTGCTGGGCCAAAGTAACTAACCCAAGCATGAGTAAAAGTAACCCAACAGCAGCATTTTTTTTTGGTGTGTGTACCTTCTCTCCATTTGGGTTACCCAGGACGTAGCATCCCATGATGTGGATGAGGTTGGGCTCCGGGTTGACTTTACTCATCATTCTGCTGAGTCGTCTCCAGAATCTAAATCAACCCCCAAAAAAAGGCTTCAGCCGAGGCCAACTTGTCCCCTTTCCCGACAAGATCAAATCTAATGAATGACAAGTGTTTGCATTGAGACATTTTTCAGGACTTTAACAAAGAGTATGACGCAACATTTCTGCAATCACCTTTAAAACTGGGGTTTGCAGGAGATAAATGTAACGGTTATGCTTCCAAAAAAAAAATTTCTTCCATGTGTTCTTAACCACACTTTGGTAAAATATGAGATACCCCCTTTTAAGAGTTATGAAGATAAAGAAATGGACTCACTGGCTCATGTCTTCCTCCTTTTCCACCTTAGCGAATGTTGCTACTTTATTCTTCAGGAGGTACAAGTGACCTGGCCCTCCCTAAAATGACACACAAAACACACTTTGATGCCTGATTTCATTTTTATTTTTTTAACTGCAAGAACTGGCATCTGCTGCTGAAAAAAAAAAAAAATCATTCCTGTCTGATTAAAATCCTGCATTCGATAAATCTGACCAGGCTGAGGGGTCATCATTGGAAGACGCAGAATTGTTTTTCCTTGACAACGGTGGGGTGGCTGATACCCAACGTGCAGCCGTCTAAGTCTTCAACCCTGCCACGAATACATCATCCATTTGCATCCCGCGTCCCCCACCTGGCAAAAGATGAGCATCCTCCAGAATTTGCTTCCCCTTCTGTAAGCTGCGAGCTTCTTCTCTATTTCCTCTGGGAAAGAGAGAAAGGAAGAACGGTAAGAGGACAGGAGTTTGTGTAAAACAATTCCTTGGTGTCTGGTTTGACACATATGTGGGCTCATGTATGGGAAGGCTTTTTTAGCCCCCCCCCCAAAAAAAAAAAACGACCATAGTAAGGCGTTTTTAGCCCAAAAAAAAAAACGACCATGTATACGAAGGCAATTTTAGCCGAAAAAAATGACCATGTACAGTAAGGCATTTTTAGCCAAAAAAAACGACCGTTTTTAGCCCCCAAAAAACGAACATGGATAGTAAGGTGTTTTTAGTCGAAAAAAACGACCATGTATAGTAAGGCGTTTTTAGCCCAAAAAACCAACCGTTTTTAGCCCCAAAAAACAACCATGTATCGTAAGGCGTTTTTAGCCGAAAAAAACGACCATGCAAAGGAAGGCGTTTTTAGCCCCAAAAAACGACCATGTATCGTAAGGCGTTTTTAGCCCAAAAAACCAACCGTTTTTAGCCCCAAAAAACAACCATGTATCGTAAGGCGTTTTTAGCCGAAAAAAATGACCATGTACATAGTAAGGCGTTTTGAGTCGAAAAAAACGGAAAAAAACGACAATAGTATAGTAAGGCGTTTTTAGCGCAAAAAAACGACATAGTATATTGGCAGGAAAAAAACGACATAGTATACAGTAAGGCGTTTTTGGCAGGAAAAAAACGACAATAGTATAGTAAGGCGTTTTTAGCGCAAAAAAACGACATAGTATAGTAAGGCGTTTTCAGCACGAAAAAAACGACATAGTATAGTAAGGCGTTTTCAGCACGAAAAAAACGACATAGTATAGTATGCCGTTTTTGGCACGAAAAAAAACAACAGAATAGTATGCCGTGTTTGGCACGAAAAATACGACATAGTACAGCAAGGCGTTTTTGGCACGAAAAAAACAACGTAGTGTAGTATGCCGTGTTTGGCACGAAAAAAATGACATAGTATAGGAAGGCGTTTTTAGCCGAAAAAAACGACAGTATAGTAAGGCGTTTTTAGCACGAAAAAAACGACATAGTATAGTATGCGGTTTTTGGCACGAAAAAAAACGACATAGTATAGAAAGGCGTTTTTGGCACGAAAAAACGACATAGTATAG